ATACAAATTATTTATTCTAAAAAGCCTGATAATGTTTTTTGCATGTTATTTTATTTTATAATATTAAACTTACCAAAAAAGTGCAAAGATAATAAAAATTTCTCATATACTCCTCAACTGATTTTGCTTCTTGCTAATACTCATGTTTAACTCCATGCATTTTTCAAATCTGAATGAAAATTGATACATTACTACTAACAACTTAAATTGTGAATTTAAAATTTTCCAGAATAGGAAAATCTATAAAGATAAAGTAGCTCAGTTGTCTAGTTTATTGGAGAGAGATTAGAAGATAATAGCTACTAGGTAGTTTTGCTTTGGAATAACAAAAACCTGAATTTGATTGTGGTCATAGTTGTACAAGTCTGCCAATATGCTAAAATGTGCTGAAGTATACATTTTAAGTTTGTAAATTGTATAATATATATTATCATTCAATAAAACTTATTTAAAAAATTTTTAAACAATTTAAAATTTACTGTTTTACTTAGATATGTCATTTTTCCATCAACATTCGTTTATTTTCCAAGGGATATACCAGTGTGCAGCACTTTACATAGCAATCTTTTCTCTTTATTCTCTTCTAGTCTGAAAATTTTTAGTCTTGATTTCTATTTTATACTGTAAGTATTCTTAAAAAGGGGAAAATAGCGTTTGCAGAGCTGCGGAACAATGATTATTTTTAACTGATTATCCAAAATGTTATTGGCATGTTTTCTCACACTCCTAAATGTTAGAAAACAGTAAAACATATCAGGCTATTAATTCAAAGGAAATAAATACTGTTAATCATGATCTAAAATACATTTACACAAGGTTTGTCAGAGACAGTAACTCCAAACAAACACACAGTTACATCAAGAATATCACACAAAGGAACATGGAGTTTACTCAACGTTGGTGGGAGCCACTAGAGATCTGAGCACAGACATCACCTGGTTGGTCCTCATTTACCCGTATCTACCTCTGGCCACCCTCAACAGCACTCTTGTCTGGATGACCCAGGCGGCTGCAAGGCTCCCATGTCCTATACTGATGCAAGAAACTGGGGACTTTCCAAGGCAGACAGAATTACAAGAGGATCACATCATCTGTGCCACATTTTGGAAGGCTGGAAGATCATTTTTATTTTTTAACTTTAATTTTTATCAGTACATGCTTGTAGTAAATAACTATTAAATTTATTGTGGGAGTTTATACACATACATAGTGCACTTGGATTCTTTTTATCTCCTCTACCCCTCACATTCCTTTCTTCTCCTTTGATCTCTTGGTCCTCTATCCATTTATAAAAGTTCTAACTCTCTGTTTCCTACTATCTATCTTTTATTTTGTTCTTTAATTTATTTGTACCTTGGACTTCTCAAAACCCACAGATTACTAAAATGGTCTGAAAGAAACAGGTTCAAGTGGAATAGGATAAACAGAGTTGATATCTGTGTTTAGGGCAAAAATCAACATATAAGTGGAGGACAACAATGTAAGAAGATAACTGATCTATCATTTGAAAATTCTTGGGCAGTTTTACTGACTTCAAATTCAATGAGTCATAAGGGTCATACAACTTAAAATTTATCCAGAAAGGGCCAACCAGGTAGCTCAATGAACTAAAGCACCTGTTTAGGCAGATACAAGGACCAGGGTTCAATCCCCAGTGTGCTGTGTTGACCCCACCCCCGGGGAGTGCTGAGACAGCTACTGAGACTGGGCATGGTGGCACACCCCTGCAATCCCAGCACTTGAGAGGCTGAAAACTGGAAGATCACTGCAAGTCCTATCTGTGTAGTAAGACTCTGTAGACCCTGTACTAAAAATACAAAAAATAAATAAATAAAATTTATCCAGTCCAATAAAGGCTTCAATTTTGTCATACTTCTTGTAGAATCCAACATGTAATTATTCATTCTATACTGAACAATGACTATATAGGAGACACTGGTAATCACTTGTCCTATGCCTATAGTATTTGGTTTCATACTTAGAAGTTAGAATTCGAAATTTTTTCTTTTACTTAAAATGGCATGCATTTTATTGTGAAGAAAACTGAGAAATAAAGAAAAAAACTGAAAAAAAGTCTTGTCTTCACTATTAAGTACAGTTAAGTTGGAAGTGAAGTTCATTCTGTAGCTGTTATACTAATATCCAGAGAGGATATTATTATCCCAGAGTACTATCCTATTCAGAAATTTATTTTCTGGCTGGAGAGATGGCTCAGTGGTCTAAAGCACCTACTTGAAACAAGCTTGGCAAAGCACAGGGACCGCGGTTCGATCCCCAGCACCACATGCCAGCCAGACCCGCCCCCTGGTGGGCTGAGCTGGCCACACACACACACACAATAAATAAATGTAATAAATAAAAATAAATAAATA